GCTGACTACAGGAAGCCTGAGGCAGAGTTGCTCTGCCCCGGGCTTCCTGGAATCAGCCGCTGATCAGTTTCAGCAGCAGCTGACTTGGGGACACTTGGGGGTCTTAAGTTGATTCTGTATGTAAGTCAGAACTGGTGGTCAGTTTCAGCAGCGGCTGAATCTGGATGCCAGTTCCGACTTACATACAGATTCAACTTAAGAACAAACCTACAGTCCCTATCTTGTACGTAACCCGGGGACTGCCTGTAGTTATTCCAAAATAGCTTATTTTGAAATAACACATCTGCACTGCAAGGAAGCCTCACGTTTGGTCCGAGGCAGGCTTCCCTAATGTAGACGTGATATCTTGATTTAGAGCCCCAGGAGGAATAACTTTAGAATGAAACAAAATACAGGACTATGTAGCACTTTAAAGACTAACAAGATGGTTTGTTTCAGCTACACCAGACTAACACGGCTACATTGCTATAACTTTAGAATGGCCCTGGTAAGGGGCTATTTCGAAATAGTGGAAATGGAGCGTCTACACATGCCTCATTTCGAAATAGCTATTTTGGAATAGGCATTATTCTTCATAGAATGAGGTTTAGAGAAGCCAGAATAAGCCATCCATTATTTCAAAATTATTTCAAAACAATGGAATTGCTGTGTAGACGCTTGCATAGTTATTCTGAAATAACTTTGCTGTGTAGACACACCCTGGATGAACATCTTGTTGATTCATTGGCTCTGGGGATCCCACGCTCCTGCACTGAGGCAGCGATGCTGACTATACACACTGCAGAATTCTCATGTATATTTTCTTAATATCAGCATGACATTACATAAGCATGATTAAGGAGATTTTATTTGTGGCCCAGATAGCACTTGAGATGAATTATTCACACAACCTTTTGGCCAATATCTTTGTGATCTTCTGCAGATGTTGGCAATAATATTTTTGTATCTTGTATGTATTTCATATAATTACGTCACTGAGATGCTTGGCTGCTGGTGAATGAGAAGAGAAACTGTTGGATGAAGCAGATTTGATGGTACAGGGTACAGTTGCATGGCTGGCGTGTGAGCCTTTTGTTTGGGGATGCTACTCCATAGTTTAGCCTTGTAGTTACTAAATCAAATGACATGCAGGAAGACTCATGCGCAAAGTGAGTGGGCAGCCACAAACCTGCTTTCCAAAGCTCATTCAAAGTCTCGAGTAAACCCAACTGATAAGCTTCCAAAGAGAGGTGACTTGCATCTGACATTTTCCTCCTATGTAGCCAGCCTTTTTTCCTCCTGATTATTTGGGGAAATTATTTTCCTCCCCAAGTCTCGTATATGCACTGTCCATGACTGGAGCATTTGGAAATATGTGGTGAATTGAGAGAATATTTTCTGAGCTCTGCCACAGGGGAGCAGTGTACAAACAAGCTGCTTGTTTGATTATTGGGAAGTGGATTATATTTGCCGAGACACCACAAAATTGGTTTGGCAAATTATGGCAGGTACATTCTTGCTTTCATAGGTCTCATCTGGAAACAGGGAGAAATGTATCTGCCATTCTCACTTCATTAGACTGAAATGCTGAGAGTCACCTCTAAGCAGGAAAGTACTTGGCATCGTCCCTCAAAAATACGCCCCTAGCTGATGAGCCCAATCTTTGTCAATGAAGTAACTGTAGTGTTCAGAGCACCGTGCTACTTTCCATTTCCATTTATTTTCTTTTATGGGTGTTACCAAGGTGGTGGGGGTTTACCCTCTTTAGGCTATTTGGGTCCTATCAGACACTTAGCCCTTTCACATATTTTAAGCATTTTGGAAATGTCAGTAGGAAATTTTCCATGTGTTTTATTTTGTCTGACCTATCTTTTATGAGATTGACTGGTCAATTGTCACTGAGTGGAAGCAGAAAATGTTGTGATGTTTTTTGCACTACACCAGCAGCATGCCCTCTCACTCCTGTTTGGTTGCACCTGTCACTCAGTCTTCCCTTTACATAGCTAATGTGTTAAAAGAACAATTTAGCTCTTTATTTGTAAAGACTTAAAGCGACTTCATTTATAAGCTTTTATCTTCCACGACCTCTCCCCACTCCTGGGTATGAAGATGTGTTGGTTCACAGGAAAAAGAGCAGCAGACAGCACTATAGGGTTGTCATGATGCATCGGGGCCGACTCCGATGCTTAGGGGACCTACTACAGTAATTGCAATAAAACCAAATATTGATAACGTTTCTTGTGAAAATTCTGGAGACTTCGGGTCAGAGAGAAGAACCATAGCTCAGCTACTCCAGTATACATGTCTGTTACTCCCTTGTGGGTAAACTGATGATTAAACAGAACTAAATAATAATTTCAACAAATATGAATGGGACTTTTTTACATAGGAATATAGATCAAGAGTTAATAAACTCTAGTATATTTAAACCACTGGGGAGTTATCGGCCCTATGAGAATTTACATGGATATTTATTAATAAAATAATTGTTTTCCTTTTAATTGGAGAGACTATGTAAGTAATCTTTTAAAGAAATATTATTTTGGAGTTAATTCCAGAAGGGGTTCAGGCCATCCTTGGGATATATCCCCATACCTGCCAAATATAGACTTCACTTTTCTTTTTTTATGTAAAGTGCCTTGACATTTTAACTTTAGGGTCTATAGATTGCAAAGCTGTTTCAATAATGCATAAGATTCAATATTTAGAGCTATAGGCTGCCCTTGACTCAGACGCAGAACTCCCATTGAGTATTTTTTTTTACTTATATTAGCTTTGATCCCAGGCTCTGTGCTTGACTGAACATGACCACGATCAAAAGAACTGTAGTGAAAGCTGCTCAAAGTATGTGACATCTGACCAAGGTGAGTATTGCAACTCTTCTTGTTTTGGGTGACTCAACTAACTGACCAGCCAATACAGCAAATACTGAGGATTGTGTCAGGATAACTTCTGTAATTATTACTGACTTGACAGGGATGGGCAGACAGAGTAGTAGGGGATTGGCCTGTACACTAGGATCAGGTTACATAAAGGCAGCTGCAGCAGGTTTTGGAATGTTAGTAACGTGTGTCCCTGAGGAACATTTCTCAGTGAATTAATTGGATTCTGCAGCCATGAGTGGGTGCCCATTTTGGGGGAACAAATACCAGTGAGTATATTTCTCTATTTTACTGCATAATGTCAATTAATATGATAGATACAATGTGAACATTAAGTTTAAAAATCCAAAGGAGGCTATTCATTACCTACCAGCATGCAAATTCTGAATGAAGGGAGCTGGTTTAAGAATTTTTTTGAGCATGGGCGATTGGGATATACTCAATATGAAAGTACCTCGATACTATAGAGATGTGTGTGGTATACAGGGCTGTAGATAGATACATGCTGTTTATTTTGCTCATTGAATATGTTTGCAAAACAGAGCCACTAAAGCAGATGTGCCTGAATGTTAGGAACAAATACGACTCTGACATTTTTAGCTCTGTTATTTGCTATATTAATTTTCTTTTATTCCTAGATTTAATTTTAATAAACTCTCATTGGAGGATGAGGAAGGAGAAGACAAGTCACAAGAAGGACTGAATAAAGCCAGCAAAGGTGGACTTGTCTATAGTGATTATCTACATGTAAGTGTGAGGACTGGATTATGTTACCGTCCTAATGCCTTTTACAATTTGAGATGTTGAAATATGGCATTTTCCTTTCCCTTCTTCTGCTAGCGAAGGCCAATGATAAAGGCAAGCCCCTATGATCCTTGTTCTGCTCTCAGCTCTCAGGATGTATCCACAGACATCTATCTCTCTTGACCTTTGTGTTAAACAAACAACTGCCACCCTAGATTCCCTGACAGTTCACATACCTGTTAATATTAGTGGGATGATTGATTATTTTTTAACTTGTTCAGAAAACAAATTGGATTTTGTTATTTAGGTTGGAATTGTTTTTAGACTAACAGCTAAATTGTGAATTGAGAAGGGCTGAGGTAGAGAGTTACATTAGGATGCATATAACACATCCTTGATAAATCACAGCAAAAAGAAGATCCATTGTTTTGCAGAAGGTTACACAGGGCAAACTTTCAATCTGCTCAGCAGGAGCTGTGCAGTTCCCATTAGCCATTGCATTGTGATTAAATACCCGAGCTGAAAGATGAAAAATATATATATACATTTATATCTGTCTGCAAAAGGTCTTACATTTAACCCATGGACCCAGTTCTTGCATCAGTTGCACTGATGTAAACTGAAATAAATTAAGTTGATCTAGACTTATACAGAATTTGTCCTAATATTTATATAATTATATGATTACATTTAATAAAAACCCATCTTCTTAAAATAATTATATCAAGCACTCAAAAATTTGGAATTCAATTAATAAGATTCCTGTGCAACCTTGCCCCAGCATGCTTATGTGTCTTCATACAACGTAAACTTTAATAAGATGAACAACATACTACAGAACTTTACTCCTTTTCTACAGAACTTTCTCCTCACTAAAAATGAATTCCATTCACATATGATTTAGATACTACATTAGGGTATGTCTACACTACAGTGCTAATTCGAACTAACTTAGTTCAAATTAGTTAATTCGAACTAAGATAATTCAAACTAGTGCATCTAGACCTAAAAACTAGTTCGAATTAGCGATTTTCTAATTCTAACTAGCATGTCCATATTGAGTGGACCCTGAACCGGGGTTAAGGCTGGCCGGAAGCAGTGCCGGCAGGGCATCAGATTAGGACTTAGAGCGTGGAGCTGCTGTCTCAGGCTAGCCGAGGGCTGTGCGTAAAGGGACCCGACCCCCACCCCGGACAGACAGTTCTTAGGGGTTCCCCGCTTGCAGAGCAGTCCTGGCTTGGAGTGCCCTGAGTGCCCACACTCGGCACATCACAGCACTTGGCCATCAGCCCGGCTGCACTTGCTGGAGGCTGCCATCCAGGCAGGGGGTCAATCGAGGGGCTGCAGGAGAGCTTCCACCCCCAGAAGCCCGCAGAGCCAGCCCAGTCCTCCCCATCAGGAGCTCGTACCCCATCCCTCCCTCACCTCCTTCCACTTGCCCCTCCCTAGCCCCCCTTCCTCATGTACAAAATAAAGGACACATGTGTTCAAAAATAGAATCTCTCTTTATTGAACAAAACTGGGGTAGATTGGGAAAAGGAGGTGCGAGAGAGGAAGAGAGAGGGTGGGAGAGAGGAGGGCAACTAAAATGATCAGGGGTTTGGAACAGGTCCCATATGAAGAGAGGCTAAAGAGACTGGGACTTTTCAGCTTAGAAAAGAGGAGACTGAGGGGGGATATGACAGAGGTCTATAAAAGCATGAGTGATGTGGAAAGGGTGCATAAAGAAAAGTTCTTCATTAGTTCCCATAATAGAAGGACTAGAGGACACCAAA